AGGTTCGACTTCAAACACTCAGGGGAGATTTTGAAGCAATAAAAATGAAGGAAGGTGAATCTGTTTCAGATTACACCACCCGTGTGAAGTCTATCGCCAGCAAACTGAAGCAGTATGGGGAGAAAATTGAAGAGACCAAAGTGGTGGAGAAAATTCTACGATCGCTATTACCAAAATTTGACTACGTGGTGGTGGCCATGGAGGAAGCTAAGGACGTGTCAAAAATGACGGTTGATGAAGTCATCGGTTCATTACAAGCCAGAGAAGAAAGGCTAAATAAAAGAAATGAAGAATCATCAGAACAAGTGTTAGCTACAAAAGCTACCACTGAGGAGAAAGAAGGCGCACGAGGAGGAGGTTACAATAGAGGTCGAGGCAGAGGCACTTACCAAGGCAGAGGAAGAGGAAGAGCTCGAGGAGCATATCAAAGCAGAGATGGAGGAAATTTCACCACGAACAATTATGAAACGTCCACCAGAGGCAGAGGTCGTGGTCGTGGACGTGGAAGAGGAAGTTGGAGATCAAATGAAGGTCGTGATAAATCCAACGTTCAGTGCTATAATTGCTCGAAGTACGGGCATTATGCATCAGAATGTTGGAGTCCGCCTAAAGAAGTGGAGGAGACAGCAAACAACGTGCAAGAAAAAGAAGTCAAAGGCACATTGATGTTGTCACATCAAGGAGATGAGAAGCCGAAAGACAACATGTGGTATCTGGATAATGCAACAAGCAACCACATGTGCGGTAAAAGAAGCATGTTCGTGGACATGGATGAATCGGTGAAAGGAAATGTTGTATTTGGAGACTCCTCGAAGGTTCCTATCAAAGGCCGAGGAAATATACTCATCCGGCTCAAGAATGGCTCACATCAATTTATCAGTGATGTGTACTATGTCCCAGACATGACTAGTAACATCCTGAGTTTGGGTCAATTGATGGAGAAGAATTATGAAGTCCACATGGTGAATCGTCAACTGGAGCTGTTAAATGAGAAGAGGCAGTTGTTGGCCAGAGTCCCAATGTCGAGAAATAGAATGTTCGCCCTGAACATTCAAACTGAAATGGCGAAGTGTTTGAAAGCCTGTGTGAAGGACAATACATGGCTATGGCATCTGAGGTATGGCCATCTAAATTTTGGAGGCCTGAAGTTACTCGGTCAGAAGAATATGGTGCATGGTCTGCCAGTGATCAACCATCCAGACCAATTGTGTGAAGGATGCTTAGTTGGAAAGCAATTCAGGGCAAGTTTCCCGAAGGAGTCCCTGTCAAGAGCTAAAGCACCACTGGAGCTCGTCCATACAGATCTATGTGGACCGATCACCCCAACATCGTTCGGAAAGAACAAATATTTTCTATTGTTCATTGATGACTACAGTAGAAAGACATGGGTTTACTTCTTGAAGCAGAAGTCAGATACATTTGAAGCTTTCAAGAAGTTCAAGATGATGGTGGAGAATGAAAGCGGCCGCTACATCAAAGCAATGAGATCAGATAGAGGGGGAGAATTTATGCTCAAGAAATTCAGAAGGTTCTGTGAATATCAAGGAATTCGCAGGTTTCTCACAGTCCCAAGATCCCCATAGCAGAATGGAGTCGTTGAGAGGAAGAACAGAACTGTCATGAACATAGCGAGAAGCATGATGAAGAGCAAGAACCTGCCAAAGGAGCTATGGGCTGAAGCTGTTGATTGTGCAGTCTACCTGCTAAACATGTCACCAACAAAGAGTGTATGGAATCAAACACCCCAAGAAGCATGGAGCGGAAGGAAACCCACAATCTCTCACCTCCGAGTCTTCGGAAGTGTCGGATATGTGCACGTACCGGATCAAGAAAGGAAGAAGTTGGATGACAAAAGCAAGAAGTACATATTCCTGGGATACTCAGAACACTCAAAAGGTTACAAAATGTTTGATCCCGTGGAAGAGAAGTTGATCATCAGCAGAGACGTGGTAGTTGATGAAAAAGCAACATGGGATTGGACTGCTGAAGCAAAGAAGAATTACACTTTTTATCCATTCACTATGGATGAAAGTGACGATAAACCAGATGGTGATACACCTGTGACGAGTCCACCCATTCACAAAGAACCTACCAGCCCAGAAGGAGAATCGAGTGAAAGTCCCCGAGAAAGGCCACAGAAGTATAGGAGACTTGAAGAAATTTATGAGGAAACGACAACCATTGAAGGTGATGAATTGACACTCTACTGTCATTTCATTGATAGTGAACCAGTGGATGTTGAAGAAGCCATGAAGGATGAAAAATGGAAGAAAGCCATGGATGAAGAAATTGGAGCAATTGTGAAGAACAAGACTTGGGAGCTTGTGTCGCTACCTGAGAACCAGAAGCCCATCGGTGTGAAGTGGGTATTCAAGGCCAAGAAAAATGCTAAAGGAGAAGTAGTCAGACACAAAGCAAGATTGGTAGCAAAAGGATACAGTCAGAGACCAGGCATTGACTATAATGAAGTTTTTGCTCCTGTAGCGAGAATGGAGAGTATCAGGATGGTGATATCTCTCGCTGCTCAAAATGGATGGAAGATACACCAGATGGATGTGAAGTCAGCTTTTCTCAATGGATATCTCGAGGAAGATATCTATGTGGAGCAACCTCCTGGATATATCGTTGAAGGCCAAGAAGATAAGGTGTTGAAGTTGAAAAAGGCACTGTATGGTCTGAAACAAGCACCGAGAGCTTGGAATAGCAGGATTGACAAGTATTTTCAGCAGAATGGGTTCAGCAAATGCCCACGTGAGCATGCACTATACTGCAAGGTGCAAGGGGGAGCAATCTTGATGGTTTGCCTATATGTAGACGATCTCGTCTTCACAGGAAACGATCCTAAGATGTTTGAAGAGTTCAAGAAGACGATGGTTCGTGAGTTCGAGATGACGGACATTGGATTGATGTCATATTATCTTGGAATTGAAGTAACTCAAAAGGAGGAAGGAATTTTTATCTCACAGAGTGGTTTTGCCAAGGAAGTCCTGAAGAAGTTTAAAATGGAGAATTGTAATCCTGTGAGCACACCAGCCGAGTGCGGACTAAAGTTATCCAAGGATGATAAAGGAGAGAAGGTCAACTCAACGGAGTTTAGAAGCCTTGTCGGAAGCCTGAGATATCTGACTTGTACCAGACCAGATATTCTCTACGCAGTTGGATTAGTCAGCAGATATATGGAGGCACCGACAATGTCACACTGGAATGCTGCAAAGAGGATACTGCGCTACATTAAAGGTACAATTGATCATGGTCTACTTTATACTAAGACAAAAAATTTCAAATTGGTTGGATACTGCGATAGTGATTGGGCAAGAGATGTGGATGATCGCAAGAGCACTACAGGATTTGTATTTTTCCTGGGAGATACAACTTTCACTTGGAGTTCAAAGAAGCAAGCTATCGTTACATTATCTACTTGTGAAGCTGAGTATGTTGCTGCAACATCGTGTGCGTGTCATGCGATATGGCTGAGAAAATTGCTGAAGGAATTGAACATGGCACAAGAAGAGTCAACTGAGATTTATGTGGATAACAAATCTGCCCTGGCATTAGCGAAGAATCCGGTGTTTCATGATCGCAGTAAGCACATTGATACGAGGTATCATTTCTTAAGAGAATGCGTGGAACAAAAAGAAGTAACGTTGAAGTATGTGAAGACTGAAGACCAGATTGCTGATATTTTCACGAAGTCGTTGAAGCAAGACGTGTTCGCCAAACTGAGGACGCTACTCGGAGTTACAGTTAATTAAACTTTAAGGGGGAGTGTTGAAATTAAATAAAGTTTAATTAAACTAAAACTGAAAAATATCTACCCTCTGTTTCCGAAGGAAGGGAGGAAAATGGAGGGGAGGGGAAGGGAATTAGGAGGGGAGGGATGATTAGGAGGTTAAGGAAATTGGAAAGAAAATGATGTTTTATGGAGGAAAGTGGGAAGGAAAATGTGTATTGGAAATTGTAATGGATATATTATTTTATTGGGTATGTAAGAATTAAATAATTTGATTATATTTTTATATTATTTTGATGGGTTGTGAATTGTGAAGATGATGGAGGAGAGATGATTGCAGGAGAGAGATAACAAAAAAGAAAAATAAAAGGCCAACTTTTTCTTCTTCTCTCTTCTTTCCCTCCAATTTGGAGGGATTGGTGAAACAGTGTCCGGCCCCTCTCTTTTCTCTCACCTAGATACTGTTTAACGTTTGGGAAACGGGGGAAAGTTCATTGGAACTCGCACTCTCCCCCTTTCCCTTTCCTTTCCGTCCTTTTCCCTTGCAAAAAAACAGGGGGCTAGAGTTCTCTGGAGAATCCTACAAAGCAAGTTGTAGTAGTTGCAGAAACAAATATCCCATCCGCCAACTACTCAAGAAAATGTAAGCCTCATGTTTCAGTAGCTTTCATTAATAGGGCAGCCTAGAGAATTCCTAATGGCGGTGGAGTAGATTTGGAATGATAGTATAAATAGGCTTGTATGTTTTGGTGTTTGTGTGCAGAGAGCCAAAAAGAAGAAAGAAAGAAGCAAAGAAATAAAATAAGCCTTCTCCAAAAAACCTCTTTGCCAATTCCCTTTTTCCTACCAATCCAATTCTCTCCAAATAAAAACCCCAACTTTCCATTCTCCCCATTCCATACACGTGCCCACCAAACTTTGCAAAAGGAAATAAATTATTTTATTTCCAACAGAATCATGATTCCGATTAAAGCCCGAAGAGTTTACACCTGTCGCTGTCGATGGAAGAGAGAAAGGATGGCTAATTTGGGTCTTTTTTCACTCTAATCGTTGGCTTTGTTTATATTCGTTTTGGATGAAGCCTGCAGGTTTGTCCTTTCTTTACCAGATTCAGCCGCTCCCTTCTTTTCCTCCCTAGATCCGTTTCGATTTCGTCACGGCTGCTCCCCTCCAAGCGATTTTTTCTGACCTCTCTTCACTAATCCGTTCTGCTCATTGCCTGCAGCATCAGGTACCGAAAGCCTATTGTTGATTCATATCCATTGCACCTAGAATAGTTCCTCAAATCTGACCTCTGTACGAATTAGTAGTTATGTTTTTCGTTTTACATCATTCAGTTGGGTTTTATTGGTCTCCTGGTGGGCTTTTAATTGAAAAATGGTGTATATGATATTCGGATTGATGTTGCAACAAACTTGTTCACTTGTAACAGGCTTCTAATTGAAAACATGGTTGATGCTGGCGGCTTTGGATGCTTTACAGCCATGAATTTCGTTTGGTCAAGAAGGCTCTGTGTTTATGGTGGTGCTTGTGGCTTTGAGGCCAGGCTCTGTGTCCTGAAGTACATGTCAGATGAGCCAGGCTTCTCATGGCGCATGGTGAGTTTCCAGAGAACACCTGTCTCAATGAGAGAATTGAGGTCTAGATGAGGTGAATGACGATACAGGAGATGACTACATTGAATTTGAAGATGAAGATAATATCTAACGAGCTTGTTGGATTGTGTAATACTCTTGTTATATTCAGATTGTGATATACTTTCCTCCACAAAGAGTTGTACTTCTGTACATTCTATTATGTAATGAAGGAACAAATGGATAGTTTGTGTTCTCATAATAAAATGGCGAATCTTTGATACTAAATTTGTTTATATGTTACTTTGCACATCAATGGAGAGGCTCCCACGACTTTTTTTATTACTATTTTGGTACTAATTGTTACAATCAACTAGAGAAAATTAAGCCCTCTAAAAGGTATTAACGATGATATAAAGCCTGATATGAGGGTAGGATTTTGGTTGCAAAAGTTTTGAAATGTGTTGCCTATATAGGTGTTGCAAAAAATAAGAATATGCAACCCCTTTTATTTTAGTTGCAAAAAGTGAAAAAATAGTTGCCTATACTTTTTGCAACCCCCACTATATGCAACCCTAGTAAAAGTGTTGCAATAGGATATTGCAACTCTTATAAAGCTTTGCGCAACACATTTTTAGGGGTTGCATGAGACCATTTTTCCCGTAGTATATAGGATGTATTGCATGTGCACAATTCGACTACAATATCGACACTTTAAGGAGTCGTTTACTGCACCGAATAACAATCTGGTAAATAATTAATCGTCAACGCGTATGCGTCTAATGATCATGTGAATAGTGCAATTCAACAGTCATTAGCATTCTTATGTTGATGAACGTTACTTGTACGATCACTCCTTCTTTTTTTGTGTGCGAGAACAACCCAGCTACTACGAACTCATGCCCCAAGAAAAAAAGTGTGTTTTCTCCCCAGAATCTCTCCCCAACTATGAGATAAGCGCAAAAAAAAAAAACATGCATGATGGCAGTGGCGGATCTAGGACTGGGCCACCCCGGGCCACGACCCAGCCCTCCTCCGGTCCAAAGCTAGTATATAGTATGTATGAATTTTTTGATTTTAGGTGTTCGGAGTGCTATTTAAAATTCGATCTAATGGTATTTGATAATAAGATTTTGTGTAACTTGAAAAAGAACATATCCAAACCACTACTCAAAATTTAGACTAAAAATTCTAGCTCCAATAATTTTTATTTGAAAAGAATAAAGTAAACGATGAAACCTAAAAGTCTTACACGTAAAAGAATAAAAGTATATAAAGTTTCATTGGATTAAAAAACCTCTAAACTAAACCTCACACTTCCCTGTCATAACTCAAAAAAATTTCCAATCCCCAAAAAATTAAATCTACACATACTATAATACACCGAAGGAAAAAACCGGAGCCCCATTTCAAATTTCCTGCAACGAGAGTGAAAGTAGGAAGGACATTTTGGTCTTCACAATAACTTTTTTTTTATTCATTAAAAAGACACGTACTGGGATTCGAACCATGACCATTTTAAAGAAAAACAACAATCATAACCAATCACACTAAGGACATTTGTTGTATCTTTTGAAATTAAAAATATATAATAGCAAGGAGGAAAAAACTCTTCCCTCATTTCAAATTCCCTGCTCCAGGAGCGTTTGTAGGAAGGGTAGAATAGGGAATGTCAAATTTTTTTCTTTTTTCTTTTTTCTCAGTGGAACGGGCCAACTTACTGTACACATGCGGATTTAAACGGGTCCAGGAGTGTCAATTTTTTTCTGTAAACTCTTTTATTTCTCCATGGTGATAAAATATATATGAAAAGGCAAAAACAATACTCCTTTTTATTGCTAAAAATAAAAAAAATTACAATAAACTAATGCATGGTATCTAATGGGCTAACTGCTAACCATAAAATAAAAGAGTTGAATGGGTCTGACCTACACAGGATTTGGCCATCAAGTAAAACAAATGAACATCATTGGTTTGTCATTCTAAAAAGCGTTTGTAGGAAGGGTAGAATATGAAGTGTCAATTTTGTTCTCTTTCTTCTGTGGAACGGGCCAACTTACAATACACATGCGGATTTAAACGGGTCCAGGAGTGTCAATTTTTTCTTTAAGCCCTTTTATTTCTCCGTGGTGATAAAAATATATATGAAAAGGTAAAAACAATACTTCTTTTTGTTGCTAAAAATATAAAATTTAACAATAAACTAATGCATGGTATCTAATGGGCTAACCGCTAACCATAAAATAAAAGAGTTGAATGGGCCCGATCTACACGGGATTTGGCCGTCAAGTAAAACAAATGAACATCATTGGCTAAAATATAATGTATTTTAATGTTATTCAATGGTTCAACCTCGACCAACCCAATTATTCCATTTTTTATCATTTCAAATATATTATATAATTATTTGATATCATAATGATCAAATTATAGTGTATTTTACAGGGAATCGTTTGGTATTTGTTAATAAAAAACCAAACAGAAAGATCTATTTGGTTATTTTAAACATTAAAACGATCCTAAACATTTTCGGTTCCTTTTGAATTTCTATGATTTTATTCCCGAATAAGTGATGTGCAAATGACGAATTGCAGTCATCTCTTTTCTTTCACTATTTTTTATTTTCAAATAGAAAGTTTAAAAGTTAAGAATAATTAGAATTTTGCATGGGTCGGTCAAACAGGCTTAATTTCAAGTTTTGGCCCGTTTTGATCAAGTCTAATTTATAATCACGTGGTTCCCTGATACTCGATAAAAATCTCAATCCAAACCAGTTTGGCAGGTGAGTCCGTGTTTACCACCATTTTCTAGGGATACGACAACGGTGGTTCCTATCCCAAATCGTGTTGTTCGTTTTTTATTTTCTTAGATTTTATCATGGCCTGACAAAAACCAGAAAGCACAATGACGACAAGATGAAAGTTTTATAAAGCAAATTAATCGGCCAACGGGTCGAGTAAAAGCTAGCAACGATTGTGAGATGCTAATTTTCCGAAAACCTACGAGATAGGCGATTTTTTATTCGATTTTCTGGATTCCGGCTTCTATAAAACTTACTCCACCTCATCATATTACCAGAAACAATATTGTTTCACAAGATAACAGATACTTGATTTTGGTTCATAAGGCTGATTTTTGATTCGTTGCATCATTCATGTCTCTTTCCTGCTAAAATTCATTATTTTTATCACGTGTTTCCAAAAAAAACTATACAACAATAAGCTATACACCCCGTTACATTATCAAATTTCATACCTCACCTTCCTCCGGCCAACTGGCCGGGGCCCACGCTAGTTAGAATTAGGAGACAAACGAACTCAAAATGGATTCCTCTACTAGTTCGTCAGACGCTGATTTTGGGGCGTTTACTTCGCGGATTTGAATGATTGATTTGGTACTCAAATCCATTCCATTATGGATTTAAGAAAAATTCATTGTTTGCTTGCATTTCTTTCAGGGACCAATTCCATGGGCCCCACAAATTTTAAGTGTCCAAATCTGTGAACCCCACGGACTTGTAAATCCCACTTATTGATGTGGGATTTGCAACATTGTCATAATCCATGATGAGATTTTACCCATATACCCTTATGAACTTTTAAAATTCCAAGTTTGCCCTCACATTACCTATTGTACACCATAAATAATCAATTAATTAACAACAAAGAAATAATAGAAATATTCAATTAATGTGCAAACATGAGTTAGATTTTTTAAACCATTTCTTGTGTTCTAGTTTCCTTTGACATTTTCATGGAACGTGTAATTCTTTGTTCCCCGGTTGTAATATATGTTGCTATATGTTACTTTTGAAAAGGAGAACAAAGAATTGGTAACCGATATATGTTACGTTAAATGTTAAACGAAATTTTCCTGTTTATTATTATTGTCATTGTGGCAACATTATGCTTATTAGTACAGATTGTCCTTGTTTTTTTGTACATATCATAAACATAACAAACAAATAGAAAAGGATAATATGGTAATTTTGGACTTTAAGTTCTAAATCCCAAACCCATAAATTCATGATAAAACATCTCAACAAACAAAAGATTGTTACAAATCCATAATGCCTCAAATCCTTGATAAATCCTTGGATTTTTAAATTACAAACCCCTCATTTTTAAATCCATAAAGCAAACGACCCCAAATTCTTTCTAGTCTTTTGATGAAGAAAATATTTACAAACTTGTTGTGTCATCATATAAATTGCTTCAGTTGAGTGGTGCACTAGATCCTAATTTTTTTTCCTGATCTTTTGATGATGAAAATATTTACAAACTTGCTCAACTGTTTATCCTCGAGACTTTGAAGGTTATTATATGCTTTCTTTGAAAAATGATCTACGATATTATGCCGCTCATGCATGTGATTCATATTATGCCGCTCATGTGGTTCATAGTTAGGAATATATAGTTTCTTCCCTTGCCAAATTCCTAGAGAAGGTAGTGGAAACAGAGATGGATACACAATACAAAAAGATTTATCGGTTGATTCATCTAGTCCTGACTTAGCTCGTTTAATGACTACTACGGAGAGAACATTTTCAGCAATGAAACATGTGAAAACTTATTTACGCAACAAATGAGCGATGAATTTCCCGTTGATTGCTTAACTATTTTATTTAGATAGAATATGTTATTGGTATGGATTAAGACTCCATTATTTGATGAATTCGCTAAATTAAAAGATGGTACAATTGACATTATAATAAAAATTATAGTTATCATTTATTTTTTTGTTAAAGTATCTAATTTTCTATTTAAATGCCGCCTATTATGTCCTGTATCCGCTGCTGAATGATGGAGTCCGGGGCATTGAGTGCAAATGGAAGACGGCCAATAGAGACAATGATGGAACCGAATGGAATATTAGAGAAAGAGAGGTTGAATAAGTCGGACAGAAGACGAGAATGATGGACTTGACTTGACTGTTTGGGAGCGAGCGTACGAGGAGAGGGGCCGGGCGGTTGGGGACGATGCGTCTCATGTGATTCTCACGTGAACGATGCCCCACGCCCTCCCTCAACTCAATTGCCCCTTTCCTTCAACTAGCTTAGTCTCTCTCATCACTCCATCTCAAATCGACCCCCTTATACCTCACCATTCTTCTCTTCTTTCGCCCTTCCCATTTAACTCAAACAGTGATGGAGTGACGAATCTAAATGAGATGGTTAAAAATCTATATGAAGAGAATTCGAACTAACGAGGGGACTAAAGCCTTACCAATTTTGCTATA